GAAGATGATATATCTAAAACTCTTCAAGTAAAATGCACTTTATGTTATTACAATGATGTAAATCTATCTATAAATTACATAGATATTTATTTAAAAAATATCAGAAGTATAAACGTCAATAATTAAATTAGATTAAGTCGTTATAATATCGTAATAATTAAATCGTTCTTGTTAGGTAAATAATTAATATATTGGTAAAATAGAATTACTGTATATATTGCATAAAAGTTTTATTATACGTCAATTAATTATTTATTTTAAATTATTTCAACATAAATTATATATATTATATATTCAATTATTTTAATTTTACAGTAATTTATACATAAATAATTTTTATTTTATAATTTGCAATTTTTTTTTAGATTCAAAGGCCACAGAGTTCACGAATGTCCACGATCCAGCAACGAATCAATTGCTGTATCGTACTCCAAAATGCACGAGAGACGAAATGGAGAGTGCGGTACAGAGTGCACGAAAAGCATACGAGAAGTGGCGACATACCAGCGTGCTAACGAGACAAAATTTGATGCTAAAGTACCAAGCTCTTATTCGCGAACACTCGGTCAGTTTATCAATACATTCTAAATTCTAAGCCAACATTCTAAATTATTTCACGAATTAATTAATATTATTTTCAAAAAATAAAAAATGTTAAAGAGAGATGATAACATATATTTGAATCAAAGATAATAAAGATAAAATAATGAGCATGGCAAAGTTGAAGAATCCAGTAATACGATGACAGTTTATTATTGCATAAATGACAATCGTCGAACCGCGCGAACCTTTGCTACTAAGTAATAACGTTCTCGACATTGCAAATATTTTATTACATATATTTCATTATATCTTCATGTCTTATTCGTTTTTATCTTATTCTTTTATGATATTCCATCTGTCCATAGAAAGAAATTGCGGCGAATCTCGTGAAAGAAAATGGAAAGACTTTGGCTGACGCGGAAGGAGATGTGCTTCGAGGTCTTCGTAAGTATATCGTGTTAAATTGTTATCTGTATTATTATATAGATTGGGCAATGCTCTAATTTATTATTTAATTCGTTTTTTAATGATTTAGTTCGAAATTGTTGAATAAAAATGAAGAAATATTAAATGAATATAAAAGAATTATTCTGATATACACGAATATCATTTTAATTTTAATTTAAAAGAAATAGATAGATTAAAATTATGCAAAATGTAATTATAATATTTAAAATTATAATCACGATTAATAATTATAATTGGTACTGCGTGGATATATCGATTGATTTTTAACTATGCGGTGGCAGAGGTTGTCGATGCATGCACGTCGATTCCGATGCTCCAAATGGGAGAATCTACGACCAACATCGCCACGGACATGGATATTATCTCGTACAAAGTACCCCTCGGTGTTACTGCATCCATTTGTCCCTTCAACTTTCCCGCCATGATACCACTTTGGTCGTTTCCGATATCGGTCGCATGCGGGAATGCCGCTATCCTGAAACCGTCGGAGCGGGTACCAGGTGCATCCATGATCCTCGCTGATCTCTTTACGAAAGCCGGTGCACCAGCTGGCCTTTTAAATGTAATACACGGTCAACATGCAGCTGTGGATTTCATCTGCGAGCATCCCGATATCAAGGCCGTCTCGTTTGTCGGTTCTGATCAGGCGGTAAATAAAGAGAAAAAAAAAAAAACAAAATCGGAAATCGAAATCGTGCACAGAAAGAATGATTTTACTAATGTATTTACAAATTTAGCTAGATACAAATCTGGAAATAATTTTGTTGAAATATATCAAAATAACTACGTAGGACGTAGTTCAAGCACAATGAGCAATGCTGCAAAAAGTTTTGATAGTCTACCAACTATCATACATAGTTTAAAAAAAAAGCATCCTACATAAATTATTTTAATGATCCAACAAAATTTGCAGATTTATATCTATTATCTATAAATTTTTAGGTACTTTGGAAAAGTCGTTCTTTCCGTGTATGAACTGCGCTATCACCTAGATCGAGCGCTTTTCCTTTTTTTGCTTTTATTAAAAATTTAATAAAATCCTAACTGTAACTTATTTTTATTAAACGTTCAATCTTATTAAAAAAATATACTTTTTGTATAAAATTTATATTAAAAACGTTCCTAATGAAAATTAGATGTAATCAGACAATATGATGATACGACTAATAAAAAAAATCAATGAATTTTGTAATTTTCAGGGCAAGTATATTTACAAGCAGAGTAGCGCGCACGGAAAAAGAGTACAGTGCAATATGGGCGCTAAAAATCATTGCATTGTCCTGCCAGACGCGAATAAGAACAAAACATTATCGCAAATTACCGGGGCGGCTTTCGGCGCCGCCGGACAGCGATGCATGGCGCTCTCGGTGGCCATTTTCGTAGGAAAATCTAAGGAATGGATACCCGAACTAGTAGAAGCAGCGAAGAAGTTAAAGGTAAATGCCGGTCATGTGCCCGGCACAGATCTAGGACCTGTTATATCACCACAGGCAAAGCAGAGGATCAACGAGTTGGTCGAATCAGGTGTTAAAGAAGGTGCGAAATTGTCTCTCGATGGAAGAGGTATCGTTGTGTCCGGCTTTGAAAATGGGAACTTTGTCGGACCCACAGTGTTAACTGATGTTAAGGTAAAATAGTTATACTAATAGTTCAAGAATTAATAAAGTCTAACAAGGAGAATAAACAATAAACTATCTATGAGAGAGTTTATTTGTATATTCTCTTAAATAAAAAATTAATTAAATTAAATAATTCTTTATCTATAGCTTCATATCTATAAACAAAAGTTTCATCTATTGAATAAATTTTGTTATCTAAAATTTATAATATTTTAAGTCATTAAATGAGAGAAATACTATATTCAATCGAAGGATCTTAGTGTTTAAATATATATATTTTGTGTAAATTTATATACATTCTGAATCTGCATACCGCGCGTCGAAATTTATCTTTTTCTGTCTTAAAACGCATTCATGAAAAAAACCAGAATAACAATGTCACTTATTAAATTTCTTGTACAATCTAATACGTGATATTACTATTCTAATTCTTCTGAAAAAAGATTTCAGTGCACGTATGTAGAATCAAAATTTATATAAATTTACACAAGAAATGCCTATAATGTATTTAAATATTAAAAATCGCTTCGACCGAATATTCCGAAGATTCCTCTCATTTAATTAGATTTATTCTCATTAGTCTAAAAATTCATATCATTTATTTATTATTATTTAAAATTATTATTTAAAATCGTATTGTATTTTAATTAATGTTATATTTTAACTCAATTCTTCACGTTATTCCATTTAATTTAACTCATAGACGACATGATATTTATGCATGTTACAGCCTACAATGAAGTGTTACACAGAAGAAATATTCGGACCCGTTTTATCGTGCATGTTTGCTGATACTACCGATGAGGCCATCGACATCATTAATAAAAATCCTTATGGCAATGGCACGGCAGTTTTCACGACAAATGGGGCGACAGCCAGGGCATTCGTGAACAGAATCGAAGCCGGCCAAGTTGGCATTAACGTTCCCATACCCGTCCCCTTACCGATGTTCAGTTTCACTGGCAATAAAGGTTCCTTCCTCGGCGATATGAACTTTTATGGAAAATACGTGAGTACATGTAACTTTGCGTGCTTTTATTTGATGAATCAATCCATTTATCCAAATATATCATACTTGTAACTCTTTACAATAACTTTTTTTATTATAATTATAGTTATTTAAGTTAATTAAAACAAATAAAAAGTAATAAAAAAATAGCTAAAACAATATGACGAATAAAAATATATCTTATTCTTGCAAAGTTAAAATTTATTTAATAAATAATTTTTTGTATTTGCACTATATTATAATATGATTGTAAATAGTAAATAAGTAGAGTTCTTTTGAACAAATAATTAAGATGTATAATATAATAATATAGTAATGTGCATTTCTTTATTAATCTCATATTTTAGGGGGTAAATTTCCATACGCAAACGAAGACAATAACACAGCTGTGGAGATCAAGTGATGCTACCGATATCGCATCGTCGACGGCAATGCCAACTATGCAATGAGGCTGTGATTTTACGATATACCAAAACTTCACTCAACTTCACTATGTTCCAAAATTTCATGAGTAAGAACATATAAAACTTAATTCTGCGGTTATAAACGCAGTTATAAACAATGTCTTCCATTGTTGTGTACAAATTTGTTCCTACAAATGATTATATTTTTATGGTCTAAGCCTAGATAAACATATATTTTTTTATACCAATAAAGTGTAGTATATATATCAATCTTTTATTTATGCCTTAAAAATAAAAATTTGATTGCATTAATTATAAGACATTATATATAGTAGAAAATTTAACAAACAATTCATGCAACTATATCTGTATAATATATTCAAATATATTATATTCTCATTATTATGTTAAAAACCTTATTTAAAAGGTAATAAAATTGTTTCCTTACAAAATAATAATATCTCCAAAATGAAAAATTCTAAAGTGTAGTTATAAATAAAAGTGTAGTTATAAAAAAATTCATTTGCTAATAAACATTTAATAAGAAATAAATATTATTTATGCAGTAAGCCTTAATGAATTTTAAATCTCTTTAATTCTTTTTAAGCAATGCACTAATTTAACTGTGCTGAATTCGTATAATAGGAAACAATAAACGTACAATTTTTCTCCTATCGATTAACCCTTTCTTAGTAACCGCGCATGGTCGATACCGAGTGAAAATATGCCTAAAATTCGATGATATTAACACCGAAAGAAGTTCACGGTCAACACTGTCCGATTCGTCCTTGAACCTTTAGTCTCACAAACGCGTGCAAAAATCCGTCTCTCAGCGATATTCGAACCAACTTCCGGCAGTCAGGAGCGGTGTACGCGCCGACGCGTGCACCCCGTCATCGTCGTCGAGGGTTGCATCTGCGCATTTTCCAGCTGAGTTTCCCTCACAGGCGAGGTTCTGCCTGTCCCGGATTGTCGTGTATGCACCGACACTCCAGACCGGTTGGGAAATCAAGAGAAAACCCTCTGACTACCGTTCACATATCGTGAGTACATCGACACATCTGTAGTCGCAATTCTGGCTTCCTTCCTCCCCTGTTTTTCGCTTCTCTCGCGAGGATCAGCTTTATTCGACAGAGAAACAGTGTCGAAAATAATTTATCCGTCTTCCGCGTGAAAGGCTATTGATATTTTATCGAAATTGTTCACGCAGTTAAATATTCGGTGTGCAGTGACGTTAAGAATTGTTAATTACTCGAAAATATTGAGCGTTGACCGTTGATTTCTTTCGCTCGATAGCGCTCGATAACCTTTCGGTAATTTTTTAAACAAGCCATCGTCAGCGTCGGCACCGGTTAAGCTAAATGTAATTGATCGTTTTAGATCTAATTTCCGACGTGTCGTGTTTATTCGTCAGAATTATGTTTTATCGTAGTATTAATAGCGTATCGTGACTGCAAGTATGCTTATCTCTATGATCGTTATATGATAAAATAGAATTTAAATATGTTTTACAAGATCAAATGGTATTACAAGATCTTTATTAGCAATAATATTAAGTTTTATATTCAAATTTATTTTTGCACAAATTATTATTTATATTATTATTTTAATATAATTTTTTTAAATATTGATAAACAATTTTTTATAAAACAATTATTGTACAAATATTTGCAAGAGAGAAATGCTTAATCAAGTACACAGTGATGCTCATACATTTTTTTATTGCAAATTTTATTTTCGATTATACATGTCAAGTACTCGTTAAATCAGAGATATTAATCGCAAATATTTCAGTTTTAACCTCTCGAATCTTCAAACTTGTTGATATGCATTGAACAATACAGCATTTAAATGTCAAATACTTATTGTGTGTGAGCTAATTCAAATGCTTTTCATTTTCACTGTGCTTTGTATATTTTAATTAAACATTGTTTATAATTGAAGTTCATAAACGACCAACTTTATTGCAAATTCAAGACTCGCAAAACTTTTAATAGCACCTATCGCGGTAAAATGGCAATATTAACTGTTTTATAATAAAATTTTTTTAATTATTTCTAGAAATAGAAAAATATTTCTACTTTTTAATACCATTTAATTTATTCCATTCGTGCTAACTAAATTTTTGTTTATCAAAAACTGCAATAAAAATCTAAGAGATATTCATAATAACTTTATAAAATTCTTATAAAGTAATTAAAAAAAAGAAAACAGTTGCAAAGTTTTGTATAATTTTTCTGTCAAGTCCTCTCTCTTCATTTTATTCTTAATACATCTTTAATACAGTTTATTATGCAAGAAAATGTTCACGTAGAAAAATATCGTTTTGATTTACAGGTGTTAATTAAAGTTTTTAATATATTCATTAACTCTTCACTGTTTGAAAAAAGTTGTAATCTCAAAACTGATTAACATTACTATTTGCAAACAGTTTTCTGCTAAAGAGCGTTATTTAATCACTGGCGACTTTGACAGCTTATACACCGCACAAACACACCACTCCATCGCCTATCTTTCGCTTTACAGCACGAGATTTTTTCTGACAGTTTGAATAATTATGTATGAAATGGAAAAGTGACGCTAGGAAAAAGGACTAGATAGCTCGTTGTTAAAGCAATTTGACGAGTAAAAAGTCTGATTTCGACTTTTGGACTTACCATCACGTGTAATATACAAAATATTAAGAATTTTTAATAAGAAAATATTCCATTCTGATACATACGAAACCTGTATTTTGGAAACACTTACATAGCTAGAAAATTTGTTTCTGTTTATGTATCTTTTTCTTTCATCATTACTTTTTCTTTCATCATTACTTTTTCTTTAAGTTTACAAAAATCTATTTTTACATACAATATTGCATTTAAAATTGATATTTAGGCGACATTTTTCTACGTGGACATTATCTTGCATAACAAATTGCTACATTAAAGATGTAAGAATAAAATGAAGAGAGAGGACTTGACAGAAAAATTATACAAAACTTGGCAACAACGTTTCTTTTTTTAATTATTTTAGAGATTTTAGAGAGAATTATTTTTTTAATTATTTTTTAAGAATTTAATAAATTATCACAAATATCTCTTAGATTTTTATCGCAGTTTTTGGTAAACAAAAATTAATTAGTACGTGATAACGTTGTTTAAACATTTTATCTCTCTCTTTCTCGCATTTATACATCTATAAAACTCTTGCATTTAATACTACATTTAATACTTCTATAAAACTTATAGTGATATTTAGTCACAATTTAATTTATGAGTATAAGAAATCAACAAGAAATTATACTATTGTGTTGTTCCTCGGAGAATAGAAACTTGGAATTAATAAGAATAGAGTTTTAATTCCAAATGCGATTCTTTCAAGTGGAGGTTAGACAAAGGGTGCTTACAACTTCTTCCTATAAAAATGTCTTTTATAATGTAGTTTGGCCTAGAGCTGTGTTCTTTCACTGATGGAATTTTCTTGGTCGCAACTTGATTTCGTGACGATTCAACGAGGGACGAATTATTTCACGTCACGTGTGTTTTTATCTCTATTCCGTAAAAGACTCTATTTCTAATATTTCCTTTGCTTCGTATTTTGTATCTAATTCTTTATTAGATAAATATCAAAATTATACCGATTGTAAAATAGATTCCTAAATCTGCACTATAAATTATATAAGCACTATAAATTGTAAGTAATATCTGCACGGACATAAATCGTCATAAAAAAATAGATATGGTCATGATAACTTTATTATGATGCGTCACTGAATGTTGTTTTGCATTGAGGAATGCAGAAATGAATCGATAAATTGCGATGCATGATTATATGTAAATAATTTATTGTATAATATAGAACGATGTATAAATAAATAAAATCACTGCTAGTTACTTTATGCAAAATTGATTTTACATAAATATTATGTTACAATTTATTTTATAAATTGTTATCTAAGAGCCCATTAAATTTTCCGAAAAAACCGTATATACCGTTTAAATATATAAGGTAGTTTATTAATTTTTTAAATATTTTTTTTGTGCAGTTTAAAATTTCCTATATGTAAAATATACATTTAATTTAATTTTCGTTGTCAGAATACATTTTAATTTAAATGCTATAAATTGGCGACTAATTCCACTATTGTTCCTCAATAAAACTGAATATTCGGATTATAGTAGAATCCCACGCTGTGCGAATGCTCGCGAAAATAAATACGAGAGACCGTTCGGTTGACAGAATCATATATTTCCGGCCGGCTGAGGAATCGCCGCCGTGTATTTCTAACAAGATTTCTATCCCGACAGGTTGAATAATTATGTACAAAACGGTGCGGAAAGGCGATGCCAGTCTGCAGTACACGATACTACCGCAGACGGATCAGTTCTCGTCTGGCGGATTCCAGCAGGCTTCCAGTAAGCCTCGGCCGAGGATTATCAAGTACACGATGGCCACTATAATGGTGCTGATCATATTGTCTTGCGTGGCCACGCCGTTCTTGATGAATCAGAATGATCACAACCTCTTCGCCAGCACAATGCGCGCGATTAGCCGGGTAGAGCCGGTCAGGAACACGTCAAGAAACCAAACGAAGAACGTCAGTGAGAGTAAAAACAGAGGCAAGATTTCCTCGATATCGACAACCGAGGTCACAAGGAGAAAAGACCTTGAGGATGGCACGACCTCTTTCAATGTAATTCTCCGGGGTGAGGAAGAAGAGGAGGAGGCTATGGTTGATGACGCTACTTTAGCAGGTATTATTTTATTTAAAAATTCTTGAGGAAGAGGCGATGCAGATGATAACATGTTACAAAAATATTGAGATCTTCGATATTTCGATTTTAAATAATAACAGATAGAGAAAATGGATATTTATAATTAAAGAATATGACCTATTTTTATAAAAATAAAGAAAGATGTTAAAAAGCTGCTGAGTTTTGCCGAAAAAATGTAAGTAAGAGGAATAGTGTTTTTTTTATATAGATTTTGACCTCCTGGAATATTAATAAAAAGTTCGGAGCCAATAGAAAATACCTCAAAAAATTGAACATGAGATTCAAATTTCAATGTTTTTATTCAATTTTCGAAATGTTCCTTAAACGCCTCCTACGAAGTTTATAACAACTTTATAGTTTATCGTATCCAGGATATCAAAATCAATAATCTTTTTTTAATATTCTTTTTTGTTGCTATTTTGAAGTAAAATACTATTTAAAGCAATATTATTAATAATGATAAATATATATTTTTAATTATTATATTTAAAATAATATTATATTATAAAGTAATTTTGTTTGTTTGTTTACGAATGCTCTTTTTTCTTTGTTTTCTTAAATCAAGATGAACATTATGAGATCAAGCATAAAATTTAATTTCCCCTCATAGGATATCTCGGAATACCGAGATAAAACGTGCAAATGACGGGCGTAAAATAAGATTCCAGCTTTACATAAATATTGGAGCCATAACATAATTCATCGAGATGCTCTGTTATCAGTCTTCCAACTAAGCCGATGTCCGACTACGTAGGTTCAGACAATTCTCTCTTTTCAGACACACCGGAAATAAGTACACAAGTGATTTCGAGCATGGAAACGTCGACGAGGGATCATCAAATGACAACAACTTCCGCTCTACCATCGGCATCGACAACGATCTTCTCAACATCGTCGACGACATCGAAAGTGTTCTCGAGCGGTACGACGGAGGACACAAAAACAGTGAGCACGTCCAAAAAGCCCAAAATGCCGAGAGTGACCCTGAAGTTGCGAGAGAACGAAACCATACCACAGATGTACGTGAAGGCGGGCATAGCCTCCTATAAGAAAGGCAACATCGCCACCAGCGTCCTCGCGAGTGGGCTGAGTCTCGAGGGCTTGATATTCAAAACGCCGGAAGGCACGATAAAACCCTGGCCCCAGAAGTGGTTCCTCGGCGAGCCCTCCGATTCCGACGTCAAGACGTGGAAAGTGTTCGTAAGTGCTCGTATTTTTCGATCGAGCGCTCATACGTTCTCGGAGAATTGCGTTCAAGGGGATCTGGAGTGTCCTGCATTTTGATGGAGTGCATCGATCACTCGAATTACCTATGCAAAAATTGCTAACTCGTCATTTCCTCGCGCGTCTTGCTTTTCCTTCTTCCCGGAAATACTTTCTAAAGCATCTTCTTATATAAGCTTTTCTTCTTGCATGTTTGTTCTACAATTTTTGCATTTTTTACTAATTGTTTTAATTTTATTTGGGTGAAATCCTTTAAATCTTGCTAATTCAACATTTTCTTCTATCTTACACGTATTTACATACATACATATATTATCATGTATAATTCTTATTCGTTTTCCATTTAAAGTAAGTGCTCTTTAAAAAGGCAGAAAAAAGAAAGAGAGAAAGAAACTTTTAATTACTTTTTCAACCATCAACAACAATTTCAAGATTTTTTCATTTCAATCTTCATTAGGAATGTTTTATTTTCTATGTTTCTTTAAATTTATCAATCCGATCTAAAAATTCATTTCGTTACTACCGTTATTATTTTAAAGTACAATTTAAAATATTTAGTAAAGTAATTTTATATCTCTGGATTGGCAAGTATATTATTTTTGCATTATTTCCGTATTTAGCAATCATCTGACCGTTAATTCAAAATTTTATATTCTGCATAAATATTGACCGCGTTGCACCAAAGACATTTAAAACTGAAGCACTCTGTCCGATCGATAGGCAGAGCGTGCTCGTGAATCTAAAAGCGGACGAGAAATCGCATGGAACCTTTATTTTTCTCACATGCTTCCCGTCGGGACAGCAATCGTACCTTTGACTTCTTTCTTGGAGAATTGCAGAACGTGACGTCATGCACAACATTTTCTGCTATTTTATAAAAATATCTCATGATATCATTGTTATATTTTATTTATACATATGTATGTATGGAGGTGTAATTCTTCTTCCATTGCTTCCATTTTTTTTATCTCGCACAAAAGATTTTCGCACAAATGAAGTTTCACGGGAGAGGAAAAAGCTGTTTTCTTAAAACATCGACCTCGGCCAATCAATATAAAAGCCGCGTGTTCTCCCTTGAGCCGATAAATGCTTACTCGTTGCTTGAGATAAGAACGCTTGCGCTGCACTTGAAGATTTTGCGCAGACTACACGTACGTTATTAGGAAAAAGCAATCGCGCAAAATACGTTAAGTGTTTATAAAAGAGATGGAATTAGTTTTCTCTCTTCAAAATTATACATAGTGTAATTTTGCAAAAAAAAAAAAGATAAAGTTTTTACTTTTGCTAAGAGAATGCGTTTTACAATTAATAAAAATTCATTCATTGAAAAGATAACTTCCCCGTTAAAAATTCACCATCAAGAAAAATAGTGTACGCGATATTTTTGTCGAAATATATTTTCGTCAAATATTTTCGCGTTCACTCAACGGCTCTTGCATATATTTCGGGCTTTTGCGTTGTTGTTATATATTTAATCAGACTTATCGAGCTGCTCGCCGAGTAAAATCCTTTCGCTTTATCCAATTTTCATAAATTGTATACAATACATAGTAAGGCGCTTCATTTTACAACACGTTTCCGCGCAGAATACCTTTTACGGACGGAGTGCTTAATTTACCGTGGAATTGAAAATACCAGCGTCAGGATGCACAGGGGGATTAATAGAATCTTGAGTACCTGCTAATTCATATATTTACCGGTATCCGACTTGGTAGTTATATCGGATGCAGCGGCGTCTACCAGTTTGTATTTTGCATATTAAGCGGTAACTGGGGTAACAGAGAGTAGCAACATTTTCTGATGAATATTCATTTCTCGATGGATAAGGAATAGCATAGATTATATCGCGATGTTATACGGGCGCATTGATAAAGATCGCAAAATCATAAGCCAGCTTCTTTATTTAAAAAATGCAATATAAAAGATAATGAATATATGTTATAAAGTTTATAACATTTTTGTGAGATAAAAGAGCATTTTATTCTTAAAAAAATTAAAGTTTACCGATACGAAATTATTATTTCAGCACATTACGAAAACGTATATGTCTTTAGAAAAATATGGGGATTATTATTTTACACATACTTTATTCAGATATTTTCAATTTACTGAATTGCTCGTGAGTATTTTACATGTGGAAACGTGTAATAGATTACTACATGTCTCGATGAAAATATTAAATCAAATTCCATAAACGGACGGACGCAAATAGCTGTTCAGACAGAGGCTCAGTGGTATTAAACGGCACACTATCGTGAATTCCGTACATTACGGGATGCACAAATCAGAATTTCAAGCAGGTTATTGCGCCGATGGCCAATAGGAGTTGGCGAAAACGTATTATCGTACACGCAAAGCCATGCATAGGTCGACAATTGACCTAATAACAAATTAAAATAATCGATTTCAAAGGATGATTTATTTAATAATATTTGTTAACACCAAAATAGAGATATTTAAAAGCGCGATTTAATAATTATAAGATATGATTTTCTTTATTCACTGTGACCTAATTTGCACTTTTTAAATAGATATTATCTATGGTTTCCCTTAACATTTTATCTTAATTCTGGTTTCTATTTTTTTATATAAATATTTTACACGTTAAGAAATTAGTGCATACTGCTGATTAAACTAATATTGTTGTCAATATTAATTTTATTAATGCTCCTGACTCACAACTATTATCTCAAATTGTGACGTCAGAAAACTCAACAAAAGTATTTGCAAAAAATATATTTAAATATATATATTTTTCAATAAAATAACATTTGCATTTGATAGAATAGATTTATAAAATATATCGAAAACTTTTTGTTTTAGAGAGGAATTAAATTATAAGGAAAAGAACGATTTTTCTGAAGCATCTTATATAAAAATTTATCTAGATATAATTTAAATCGAAAAGTAATTTTGTTAAATTATGAAAATAGTTATGTAGGATCTTCAAACAATTGGTCGTTAGAATATCACAATTTTATGCAGCATTGTTCATTATGCTTGAATATCCTACATAATTATTTTGATGGTTTAACAACATTATTTTAAAATTTGTATTTACAATATATATAGCTAATTTTTAAATATTTAAGCATCTAGTGGTTTGCCGCTCGGTGCGATTGACTCGCGGTCTGTAGATCCCATCTGCGCCCACATATACAATTTTTCACGTTTAAGGAGCCGAAAATGACTTCATCTAGTGATTAAAAGATCTTTGACTATCAACCAGTGCTGTTAGGATTCGGCTTAAACTGTGGGTCCTATATATCAGTGGATGTATGTATAGATCCCTCAGATTAGAAGTTTGGATATTAGGCTAACATTTAATTGCGCAAAGAAAAATTTAAAATTTCATGAGAGCCGAGAAATAGACCCTATCCTGTCTTAGGATGTTACGTCATCGAATGAATGATGAATGCACATACGAATAAAGTGTGTGCCATAGATTGAAATTTTTAAATATTTCAGCAAAATCGTCCTGTCTACATTTATTTCTATATATTATTAATTTAACAGTTATCATAACTGTAAACATAACTTATTTTGTTTTTGATTATATATAAAATTTATTTCCAAATATATATGATTGTTTATTAATTAACGTTACAAAAGAAAAGTTTTCGATATATTTTATAAGAATAATATTGATTATAAGTGTTGTTTTATTAAAACATATTTTCATTTTAACGTATTTTGTACAAACTTTTGCGCATTTTCTCGCATCGTCATAATAATCGAGATAATCGTGATAAGTGAATAGGAGCCTTAATACATTATGAAAAATAAAATATGTGTAAGAAAAGAAACATTTGATATAAGATATTTTATTTTAGCTGAATAAAAATATTCCATATAATGAATGCAGAAACATGAGACAGTAAATTAACACTTTTTAACTTATGATCGCACAATAGAGATGAGTATATTACAGATATTGCCGTGCAAATAATATCGTTTCATTGAATTTGCAGGCCGTGAACCACATACCAATGATAACAGTTTATGCAATCTTTGGAGGAATGTGTGCAACGGCGTGTGGTCTAATCGCTCTAATGATTCACGTGCAACGTGGTGCACGTAAAGCGATTAGACGTGCAGGACAGAACATTGAGGAGCCAGAGGTCGAGGAGCACGAATCGACTCTGCTGGGCGCGGAGAGCCAAGAGATCGAAGAAAAAGAGTAATCCTGGCGACGAGCACGACGCACCCGTACATAGCGCGCGTAAGACTTGCCTATTTTTACAAATACACGTCGGTTTTAGGCTTAGATGTCTTCCACGTTCGGAAGTTAGAAGATCAATAAACGCGGGCGAGATACGAGAAGGATTTTTTTACGATGCGATGTAGCCAGCTGTAGAGAATTCGCAGTACGAATGCACAAACAACGTGATTATCCCGCCTGAGATTCGTTTCCTGCGAGACTGCTCATTGCGTTGCTGTTACGTGCATACGTTTATCTTTATGCCAAGGCAGATTTTTGAACAGCCCAGTGAGAAATGACTCATTAAATTTATATCAAATCGATACAATTTCGACATCAACTCGATGTCGATTGGACATTTAATTGACTGTCATTTCTCACTGGAAGAAGTTTTTTTCGCGAAAGCAGAAACAATCATGTTGTACGATATCATTCTTCGCGTTTTTGTTTGAGTGTTCGATTAACATGCTCGTCAATAAATTAGCAAACGACCAGTTATATTTGTTGCAACTGCAGTATAGTTCAATTATTACGACATAATTATATAACGATATCGATATGGCGTTATTTTGCGATAATCGAACTAATTGAATGAAAAAGTTGCTTGATCGTAAAGAAAGTTTTGTTATTTATTATATAAGTTTGCGATAAGACACGGCAGGTTTTACAAACCCACCAT